CCCCAAAACCCCAAAACCCCAAAACCCCAAAACCCCAAAACCCCAATAGTACGCGAGTAAACTGAAACTTTAAATTTTTGACGCATATTAACGGCTTAGACTAATATTAACCCCAAAATGGCCTGCAAATAGCCACAGGATGCCAGAAGGATCTCTATTTGAGGAAAGAGGGCAAGGAAGGATTAGGAGGGATGGTAGGATGGAATAAATGGGTTTGCAGATTTTGCATGTCTGAGCAAACCGGATTTCGCCTTTTTTAATCGGTTTTAGTAGTAGATTTTAGAATTAGTTATGATAGTGAGGGGATCTTGGGAATCGGTATGACTTGATTTAGGGTTTTAGATGGAATTGGAAAATTTTGGGTATAAAAACCCGGAAATTTTTGACAAAATTGTGGAAGATTATAATTCATAATTAACCAACCGATGTGGAAATACGTACTTTATAATTTACCTATCTCAATATTCATTAATCTGAGAGATATAAAAAATATTTGGATGCCCAAATTAGAGGGTTTTAGCAGATATTTACTCTCGGCTTAGTAAACAGGCTTCCCAATATTTCACAAGTGGCTATTATTCATTCCATGCTCAGAATAATAAAAGAAGAAAATAGTATGAGTAAAATTCCACTTGAATACTAATTATCACAAATCTGGGCATTCAAAACTTACAGTTACTCTAGTTTTGCAGAAGACAAAGAAATAAAATCTGCAAGTCTATCTTCATTGTTACATTGTCCAAGAACCTTAGAGTCTCTGGAGCTGCACTAGGCATTATCTAAACGCTTGGCTAGGCTGCTAGCAGATCCTTCTGACTTCGGAGAATCTCAGATTTTTCTGGTAAAATTCATTCAATGCATTCGCTCATATTTAATAGGGAGACAGCTAAAATATTCACAGGAATTATGGTTGGACAATGGACAATGGCTTTATGTTAAATAAAAAGAAAGCCTCTCATCTCCTTCAGAATTCTCCACTGAAGAGACATGACAGAGTCATGCTTACCTTTGGAATAATTTGTAAACTAAGTAATGCTAAGAAGTACTGCAGTTCTTACAAAGCAGATATCAGCTCCAAAATGTACTAAATCTTGTAATTTCTCATTCAAGAGAGAAAGTAACCCCAAAGAGACAAGTGCAGTTGATCAGGATTTGATACTCAAAGGCTGAACACCAATTTCAAATATTAATTTTCTTAAAATTAAAGAATGAGTTATGCACGGAAGGCATCTAATTCAACCAGATATTTAATCACCACATAACTAGTCCTGACCATCTTCTATCAGCATTGATGAAACCAAAGATTTTATGTCTACGATAATGTTCAGAAATTCTGAGTAAAAATCCTTGACCTGTCAACATAATTTAAATATGCTCATGATTTGTATAATAATTAAACTCTAAGATCACTACTCTCACCTTTACTACCGAGATTTCAGAGATGTACTCCACACTTCAAAGCCAAGCCCTGATGGTAAGGAACTCTATTATCTGACTTTGGAATACTGAATGAAAGCCTAGTTAGTATTCCCCAGCTTCTTTGAAGTATGGGTGAAGTTAGTTTCTCATCCCAAGTTGTCTAAATCAGCAAGAATCCTTTCCTTTCATTGAGTAAATTTTCAAGGGATGCTTCAAGACGCTTCAAATATGTATAAGATGCCTAAATTTATCCAATTTTATCCCTTAGGACATCCAGGAGTCTCTCTGGACCATGATTTCTCTCCTAAATCAAAGTGTTTTGCATTGATTCTTGAATCTTTCACCTATTTTTTGTACACAAACTCTTAAAGCAAGGTTTTTATCATTCTGAACGAGAGTTTTAAGTTGTATCCAAATCAATATTCATATTGAAATACAAGCGAGAGATATCAACTCTCCAAACTTGGCTTCCACAGCTATGATTAGAGCTTAAACCCCTGATCTTCAGGATGGAAAACTGAGTATGACTAATCTAGAGATGGATTGTGTACATAACAGTCAATAAAAGAGTTACTCCGAATAGATGTTGAGAAACACGTTAAGAATAGCTTGTACTTTGATAGACTCTCTTTTAAAAAGTTGTTGTGCATTTCCTTCAATCGTAATATAGATACCACAACTCCCAGAACTTTTGGTGTTGGTTCCGATGATCACTCAGCCAGTACCAATGATGAACTGAGGATTGTATCAAGTTCCAAATTTCTCTGAAGGATGTATGGGTGTCTATCCCTCATATTCATATCCACTCTCTGAAGTAGTTCAATCTTATCCAGTCCCTCCCAACCTAGCTTGGGGGTCAAGACAAATTCAAAGAAGTCAGTCGAGCTTCCACAGTGTTCCTCAGAAAGCCAAGCCAACTTTCACCAACTGCGATTCTTCCCAAGATGAAGGAAAGATATCAGATAAGAAAACAGAGCAACGTAAGAGAATCAAACAGGTTTTTAAACCTAGATTTATTAAAGAAGCAGATGAACTACATAAAAAGTTAGTATGCATGAGTAAACTGAGCAAAAAGATCTTGACTGCCTCCAACAAGGTGCCTCTCTCTGAAGGACAAATTCCTGTCAAGCAGAGAGCGAGATACATCGGTGTTTCCAAGAATGGAAAAAATTGGCAGTCTCTGATCGTTATTGACACTAAAAAGGTTTACCTAGGAACATACAAAACCCAAATTGAAGCAGCTGTGATGTTTGACTTCCATACTATCCTCATAAAAGGGGAGAAGGCTAAGGTCAACAACGACTATACTGCAGCCCAGATCCTCGATATGGTCAAGAACTTCAAAGAAAATGACCATGAGTTCAACCCTCACCAATATCTAAAATCTAATACTTCAATTTAAAAAGTGAGTTTAGGGGTTTTGGGGTTTTGGGGTTTTGGGGTTTTGGGGTTTTGGGG